TATATATATATATATATATATAGGCTGTGGGGAAGGTGATGTTACGCTTTACACTATCTTATCTTCTCGCTTCATATTTTTTTTCTCAGTTTTTATTTTTTCTTTTCTCTGCGTGATGGCTTATTGCTATTCTTTGAATGACTCTGGTCAGTGATATCAAATGATCGATTGTCAATGACCCAATGAGAGATGGATCGTCTGTAAGATACTTGTCCCATTGATCCGATTGTTAAGCCTTGGCTCATTGGGTGAGAAAGACCTAGGGACCATTATGTACGCTGCTGACCATATCTTTTATAAGGATCAATTTTGTTTTGGCTAAGGATCAATTTCGTTTTGGCTTGACACGGCTTTTTTTTAGAAGATGTTGACTATCTTCACCTATTACGTTGTCATCTCTGTCCAGATAAATTTCAACTCCATAGCGACTATCATGACCTACATTATCTTCTGTCGTTGGTCAGAGATTTCACAATCGATCAAGCTTTTCAATTACTTGTTCTCATTTTGGGTTGGACCAGATGGATCTATTCAGTTTGTTTTGCTCACCAAATTTCAACTTTTGTGGTTAAAAAATAAGGTGATTACCTGGAAGCCTTATTTATTCTTGGGCTTTCCCGTCGTCGGTATATTTAGACAATGTTATCTGGTGGTGCTTCAGCAGAGGCAAGGAAAGTTATCTGGGTACGTCAAGGGGCGTTGGCTGTCAACCCATTAATATCTCAATCCGACAACTGTCAATTGGGTGCTCCAACCAAAAGCTTTTAGTCAAATGACCAAGGATGCTTGGAAATAGATTTGGGCATTGGTCGGGCGGTTTGACGGGCTCGCTATAAGCCTACTTAGAATGGATGGGTTTGACTATAAAAAAAATTAAAATTTTGCTAGTTCAGGCCAGGCCAAGACTGTTTTGACTGTCAGTCCGATTAATCTCAACCCGTGCTAAGCCCAGCCCGCACATTGATCCGGTCTCAAATATAATTCGTGATTGCAAGTTTTTTAGGCGATTAATTTCCCCATCCTTTCTCTTTTTAATCTTGCCATGAATTTTATTTTTTATATTAATGCCAACCAAATCTTTTATATCACAGAAAATTATCACTTCTAAATCTTCTTTAAGTGAAATCCACTTTTTCATGCATATTTAAGATGACAAAAATGTAAAAATATATGTCCAGGTATCATATATGTAATTGAATAGAAATTGACGACTAGTATGTATGTACATTGTTTTTTTACTGTATTTTGCTCGACTAAGTTTCATATTGTTTTTGTTTCAACTTAACAGCCAGAGGAGGCGACTATTATTGAGATGAATGAGCCTGTCAGCCTAACCTTTGCACTCAGATACTTAAATTCTTTCACCAAAGCAACATCATTATCTGAATCTGTGACTATTAGTCTTTCTTCTGAGCTACCAGTGGTGGTTGAGTACAAGATTGCTGACATGGGGTACATTAGGTTTTACTTGGCCCCTAAGATCGAAGATGAAGAAGATGAGATGAAATCGTAAAGCTTTTTCCTTGCCATATTTGTTTTGGTTTTTAATTTTTTATTTTTATCCTGTTTTCAAGAGTGGTGAGATCAATGCTTAAGGCCTGTGCGGATGACTATTTTCTTCCGTATATGTTAGCTTAAATTTTAAATATTATGGTGGTCAGTTTCCAGTTTGCATTGGCATGTATCCTGCTCGAATGCTCCTGCTGCTAAAACTCGTGACTTTACCATTGAGTCAACTCTTGGTTATTCGCAATTGAATGTCTTAAATTAGTCTATAAAAGTGGCTTATTTTCTTAAATTTAACTATTGATGTATGGGAAGTTCAAATGTAAAGTGCATTCTATTTCTTTAAAATTGAAATTTTGTTCTGCACATCCCAAGCATTATTACGGAGTTAAATTGCCGTTTTTGCTAGGATTAACTCTTGATTTTTTTTACTTGCTCTTTAAAAAAAAACAATTACATTTAAATGAAATCTTTTGCATACCAATAAGTGCTATCAACATAATCAGTCTGAATTTGGTGGGTTCATAAAGTTGATAATCTTTATGTTTTAATAATTCCAAAACTATATTGGTTATATTATGGATGAGGTGTAAACTTGTGCAGCATGTAAATATATATCTAATCATATCATTACAATATCATGATTTAAACAAACCAATCATAATTCCATCACTATCACATTGTAATCCAGCATGTAAATATATATCTAATCATATCATTACAATATCATGATTTAAACAAACCAATCATAATTCCATCACTATCACATTGTAATCGGCATACTCATAAACATGCTTAAGAATGAAAGAAAATAGCACAAATGATGGATAAATTGCATAAATGATGAGCTGAGTAGTAACTTCATCTAAATAAAATATAATATATGTGCAATAAGTGTATTCTAATTAAAAAGTAAGTTTTAAATACAACTCAATTTCTGTATATTTACATATTTAACATTTCAATTATAATTTTTTATATGCATGCCACCTTATCTATAAACAAAAATTTTAATTTCATTTGTTAATGTTCAAATGGGGGTAGTAAAGATATAAAAGAAACTAAGTTTAGGTATTAGATATTTAAATGCATGGGAATTGGGTGGTATATTTGTAAATGCTCCAATAGAAAATGAATGGAAATATTATTAGAAAGAAAAATAATTATCTAAGATAAAGATATTAAATATAATCATTCTAAGATGGTTTAGGATATGGATGGTTTATGAGGATCTCATTAACCTTTGATAGGGTGAAGTAATCATATATTTACTCGAGTTACCATGCAAATAGGACAACATATTATTCTCATTGATCGAATTGAGCGTCTTGTTGCTTGATGTCTCATTCTACCAATGAATGAGAGGTGTCATTTGAGCTGTTTGGTTAGTAACATCTCCATCTTGGAAAGATGCTCTCCTTACTATTGTGAATAAAAATTGGATCAATATTATATTGGTGCTAATTAATTTAAATGGTAAGAGTTTTAGTAGTAAAGATATCAAATTCAATTTTTATTCATGTTAATAACTTTTGTCTAAAATATTTTATGGCTAGCCAAAAAGAAAAAATAAAGAAAAGAAAAAGAAAAAGAAAAAAAAGGAGACTTGCTAATTGTTTGATTTTGAGTTGCTAAAAATAGTTTTTTTGAGTAGTGATCATTCAAGAGTTGTCCTACTCATGAGAGGGGCATAACTAGCTTCATCATTAGCACAACCAACAATAATGTATCATCCTCATTATTCTTATCATAATTGTTAACCTCATAGTTGCACTGCGAGATATGATTTTAAGATTGAAAACGCTCGCATATGTAAAAGATTTACTATTGCATTATCTTGAACATTGGTCGCCAACGGACTGTCGTCGCTGCCACCAATTCTCCGTTGTCTATCGGGTGTCATTGGTGTCGAGGAGTCGCCACTTTGTTGTCAATTACATTGCCCAATTCTCCAAATAACCTCTTCTCTCAAATCGTGTAAGTGACCTTAAGATGCTAAGAAACTCGGGGAAGAGAGGAAAGAACATATGGGAATAGAAAATAGGCAGAAGAAAAGTTTATGGAGAACTTCATTGTGGTAAACATTGTAGAGAGAACTCTGCAGTGTCTGACTCTTAAGATACTTGTACGAAGAAAACCACACAAATATCCCATAACCAAAGATTTAGGTATGATACCTATTTTGAGTTTCTCATTCTCCTATAAGAACAAACTCCTATAGTTAATTACATCCTAAACAGTTAAGATTGCCTATGAAAACTCTCGATTAAAGTTGACATTTGTTTTCGAAAATTTTAAATGCTGTCAAGGAAAAAAACACTAACATTCAGTCCTAAAGGTAATAGATTCCTGAAGATTCTATACTACCTATAAGTTTCGTTTGTTTACATTTTATCATTGTTGTCCTTTTTTTTTGTTTTATCGTTTTGTTTTGTATTGTTGTTTTGTTGTTTTGTTCTTTTGCCAAAAGTTTTAAGATTCACCAATTCAAGCTTTAAAGTGTCGTCCATGCAAAACAGAGTTAACACACTCTAACAATATGTAAAGTAAATCCAAAAAGCAACTCACCTTATCTCTTTCGTAGTCTTGCAAAACAATGTTAAGACAAAATTATATTTTGATTTGTTAATTTAGTTTGTTAAATTTTTAATTTTTAGACAACCTAGTTAAGATGTTTATGGCTTAGCCTTCCCGGGGTCTTCAGGGTCTTCAGATATACTTAGACCGAAAGGTGGTTAAACTAGAACTGGAAGATTCTTGTCACCAACCACAGATTGCATCGTCCAAGAGATCTTCAAAGATTCGAACACTGATTCAAGTTGCATTCGACGATCTTTGTTCATTAAGGTTTCATTTAAGTTTAAATGTCTTTTTCAGATTTTAGGGGTTGAAAACTTTTATGCTGTTTACAATTTATTAGCTGATACACCAAAATTATATGCATTTTTAGACCCATATTTTAAACTAGACCCATATTTTAAGCTGATACACCAAAATTATATGCATTTTTAGACCCATATTTTAAACTCATTTTTGGTGATATTATGTTTTCATGGAAGGTATTTTTATGTTTTCTTGCAAGTTGTTGAATTTTAGGACTTAAAGCAAAAAAGAAGCAAAAAGGAAGCAAAAAAGATGAAATTTGAAGCAAAAATTAAGATGTTGAAATTTGTTCAGCACCGACGGCGCCAGAAGCAGCGTCGACGACACTGTTTGACTGTGAGCATCGAATTAAATTGCGGAACACTGGCGTTGACAGCGCCAATGCCAGTTCAACCCCTATTTCTAGAAGATTCAACGAATTTAGACTCTTTTTAAAGAGTTTTTGGAGGCACCTATTGGAGAATCGACTTTAGGTATTGGAGAATCGACTTTAGGAAATCGACTTTAGGATTTATTTGGGGCCAAAATTGATCATAAAAGTGACTCTTCCTGACATCTCATCCACCCAATTCAACCTTCTACGCATCACAAATTCTTCCATTTTTCATTCCGCGACCATTTAGAGTCCGAACTTAATTTATGCGATGATTTTTCAACTCCGAACTTAATTTATTTTTCGATCTGGCAAATTGAATTGTTGAATATGTTGTGAAACATATGATCTAGGAAATTGAGTATGAGTTTTACAACAGAGTGAGGATCACATTTGATTCCATGAAAGAGAATTTTATTTATGGAATTAAGTGCAAATAAATAGAGAAATGTACTTTGTTGGGTGTAGAAGTGAAAAATATTTAGGGTGACAAACTAAAATCCCCACTTTGATCTTAGTGTTTAAAAATTAATGTGAGAGTTAGCCTTTAGGTGAAGGAAAGTCGGAGCTCTGGAGTGGGAGCTAGTATCCTTCTAGTCTAGCCACAAATATTATTCTAAGTATTTTGATTCTCCAACCATTCAAATATTTCACCATAGCTTGATATTTTGGCATGTTGTTGTCTCTATCATGGAGGATATTCCTTGATTTTTCCAAAGTTAGAGGAGACCCCTAGACAGAGATCTATATTTTTCAAGTTTATATAACTGATTTGAAAAATTAATAATAATAATTAGTATTTTTCTTAGAAAAATCCAAAAAAATTTTGGTAGATTCACTGTGACCAGAGAACCCTAGGAAAAATTTGTCATGGGCTAAGTTATTAAGAACACACCTAAACACACCTAATTTTCACAAAATCCTAATTTTCACAAAATCCTAAAACACAAACGAAATTAATTTGGGAAAAATAAACATCAAAATGACTTGGTTTTAATTCTCAAATATAATTAAAGTTATAGGACTTCCCATAAAAATTTCAAAACATTTGGAGTTCATTTGATAACCTAATTTGATTTTCTAAGTTAAGTGACATTTTTAACACTCAAAATAATCATAATAATTAGAATACGACTCAAAAATTTATGAAATTGGCTTTGGGAGCTCTCTGTGATTAGAGAAATTTTCTAAAAATAAAATTGTAATTAAAATAAAAATTTCATTTTAAGCACATTTTAAATATTTAAATAATAACAAATTAATAAAAATCACAGCATTAATAAAGTTCATGAAAATGTTCTAAATTGTTTTCTAAGCCAATATGAGCAATTGTAATATTTTTCCAAATTTCCTAAGAGAAGATATTGAATTTTAAACCTTAAAAATAAATTTTAAAGGCTAAAAAAGGATTTTTCTTAATTTGTCACTAAAATAACTCTAATAATTCAAAGCAAGATTATAAAAATATGAAATTTATTTCTTTGGGTTCTTTGACCTTAGAAAGATTTAATAAAAATGTAAAACTTAATTTTCCACATTCAAAATATTTTATAATTAATTAATACTCTAGAGCTTAAAATAATTCTGGTAATTCAAATAAAACTCAAAAAATCATGAAATTTAGTCTAAGTGGTTTTCTAGTCTGAGTGTATCTTCAGTAAAAATTTTAAGTGATTAGGCTTTGCCTTGGTCAGGTTATTGAATTTTCTTTGAAAAATCCTATTTTTGTATGTAAATAATTATATAAATTAAATTAAATTTTGAAAAATCACATTTTTTCTTTTGATGTCTTAATTAACCCATGAGTGAGATAGAATAAAATTTTTAAATTTATTTGAATTAAATTTGATGAATTATGAAGTGATAAAGCCTTAGGGGCAAATGTATTTTTTTTGGAATTTTGTCTTAATTAACATTTAGGCTTAATTCAAGAAAGGGAAATGGGTAATCTTTGATTCTAATTAACATGTTCAGATGATTAAAACTTAAGAGATTAATTGGTAGAAACAAATTTCACTTTTCTTAATTAAAGGATAAATTTGCAAATTTTCTAAATCATTAAAAGT